ACAGATGGTTCCCATATTCCCGTTGTTGGGAAAGAAACAATTAGAATGACTAATGACATTACTTTATTCTATGTCTTACATGTCCCTAAACTCCACACTAATATTCTTTCAATAAGCTCTTTGATAAAAAATTTAAATTGTTCAATGACTTTTCTTCTTGGTAATTGTGTTTTATAAGATTTGGAATCAAAGATGTCGACTGAGAGTGGTCGTGAGGTGAATGAAGTCTACATTTTGGATGAAATTATGAGATATTAGAGCCATCATGTTAGTAGCAGCAGTAGTAGTGGATCAGAGTCAGCGAGTTAGATTATGCTTTGGCATAATTGTTTGGGTCATCTTTTTTTCATTTCATTGAAGTTTTTGTTTCTGAAATTGTTTTAAGTCTATTCAGTTTTCTGGTTTGGAATGTAAAAGTTGTCAATTGAGAAAACATTGCAGACATTCTTTTAAATCAAGTAAGAAAAGAAGTTCATTTTCTTTTGATATTGGTCATACTGATGTATGAGGTTCTTACCACATTTCTTCCATAGGTGGTTACTGTATTTTCTCTTGTTTGTGGATGGTCATTCATTGTGTCCTTAGATATATTTGATGAGATCACATGATGAAGTACCCATTTTGGTGCGACAATTCTACCAGATAGTTCTCACACAATTTGGAGTGAGGAATAAAATCTTCAAATTAGATAATGCTAGAGATTACTTTGAGAATGACTTGTTCTCATATTTTTTGGAGCATGGTGTGATTCATCAGAGTAATTGTACATACACACTACAATAGAATGAGGTAGCAGAGATGAAGAATAGATATATTGTGGAGGTGGGAAGGAGCCTTATGGTGTGTGCCTCAGTTCTTATTCATTTTTGGGGGATGTAGTTCTTATAGCCATGTATCTGATTAACCGTGTTCCTTCACGCACTTTAGGGTTAAAGGCACCTTTCCACTTACTTTTTCCAAATGGGGAGGTATTTCATATACCTTTGAGAGTCTTTGGGTGTGTCTCCTTTATTCACATTCTTGGTCATCATCACAAGAAATTAAATCCTAAGGCCAAGAAATGTGTTTTCCTTAGGTATGCTCAAAACCAAAAGGGGTATTGTTGTTATGATCTAGTATAAGGGAGTGTTTTGGGGAGGAGAACTTACAACCTGTCCATCTTCTTGTGTCATTTATTCTTTCATCTAATCCACCTATTCCACCATCAACAGCTATAGTTCCACTACTTGATCCACTATGGCTAGCCTCACAGGTTTATCAATGCCACTAGAAGAGGGTTGACTCTAAACATGCTTAGATAGAAGAACCTGCACCACTCTCCGTCAGTTCATCTGAGATCCCAAGTTTGGCTGATACAGTTCCAAGTATTTTCATTGAGCCTGAGTATGTTATTTTCCCTGATAATGATGTTTTTGTACCTAACACTGTTGTGGTAGCTGATCTCACTAATCTTGATCTTCCCATTGCACTTCGCAAAGGGAGAGAAAGTGTATAGCCCATTGCATTTCACACCATCTCTCCTATAGTGCCTTATCACCCTCCTATAGTGCTTTCTTTTATTCCTTGAGTTTTGTGTCTATGCTTAGGAATGTCAGTGAGGCTCTCTCCAAACTTGAGTGAAAAGTAGCTATACAAGAAGAAATGAAAGCCTTGGTTAAGAATCAGACATGGGAAATAGTTGATCTTCCTGTAGATAAGAGACCGTCGGATGTAGATGGGTCTTCACTGTAAAGTATAGGATTGATGGCAGCATAGAGAGGTACAATGTAAGGTTGGTTGCAAAAGGGTATGCACAGACATATGGTATTGATTACTTGGAGACTTCTGCACCAGTTGCTAAGATGAGCTCATTTCAAATTCTCTTGTCCCTAACAACTACCTATTCATGGCCTCTATTCCAGTTTGATGTTAAAAATGCTTTCCTTAATGGTGACCTGCAAGAGGAGGTATATATGGATATTCCAACTGGTTTTTATGAGAATGTTGGTAAGGAAAAAGTTTGCAAGTTGAATAAATCAACATATGGTTTGAAATAGTCAGTTAGGGCATGGTTTGACAAGTTCAGAGGAGCACTTATCCGTTTTGGGTACATACATACTCAATTTGACCATACTTTCTTTGTAAAAAGGAGAGAGACACTATTGTCAGTATTGATTGTATATGTAAATGATACAGTTGTTATAGGAAATGATCTGAAGGGGATTGATGCACTCAAGAAGTCACTACAACAAGATTTTGAGATCAAGGATCTAAGTGAACTGAAATACTTTTTGGGGATTAAGGTTGCAAGATCCAAGTATTGGATTTTCATCTCTTAGAGGAAGTATGTGTTGGACTTACTACAGGAGATTGGGAAGCTCATCCAGACATCTCCTATGTTGTTAGTGTTGTGAGTTAATATATGCATGCTCATTGGGTTGAACACTGGGAAGCCATTGAGATGATACTTGCATACCTAAAGAAGCATCATGCAGAGGGATTCTTTTCTTAGAGTATGAAAACTTAAAGCTGAAGTCCTACACAGATGCAGATTGGGCAGGTTTTTTAGATGACAAGAGATCTACATCAATGGTTTGCACCTTTGTGTGAGGAAACTTGGTTTCATGAAAGGTTAAAAAACAATCAATTGTGGTTAGTTTAAGTGTAGAGGCTGAATATAGATATATGGCTCATGGTGTTTCAGAACTACTTTGTGTGAGATCTTTACTGAGTGATATTGGAATAAAAGTTGAGGAGCCCATGATGTTATATTGTGACAACCAAACTGCAATCAATATTGCCCACAAATCCAATTCAGCATGACAGGACTAAACCCATTAAGGTTGATAGGCACTTCATAAGAGAATGGATGGCAACTGGAGAAGTCTACTTGCCTTATGTCTCATTTGAACTACAATTAGTTGATGTTTTCACCAAAGGGGTTGCAAAAAACAAGCTGAAATACAATCTATGCAAGTTGGGAATGTGTGATATTTACTCCCAACTTGAGGGGGAGTGTTGAGGTTTTAGACAAATTGTGTGGTTTATAGTAGTGGCTTTTGATTATTTGTTGTTTAGATAGGAAGTGGGGACCACAATACTCTTGTCGGGTCCTTTTTTGAGCAATTATTTTAATTGTTTTATGCTATTTTATGTGTTAGTCACCCTATAAGGGCATATTGATCTTTGTACTCTTTATTATTTTAGACTGTAAATAATAGTAAAGATGGTGGCCAACATTATTGCTTTTTCTTCTCTTTCAAATCTATTATCTTCCTTTTCTCATTTTCTTCTCTTCTTCTTCTTCTTCAAGAAATATTATTTTCTCTTACATATTTTTTTATTGAAGTACTTTTCTATGGATAGTTTTCGAAACTATAGGTTATAAGTAATTTCATTGAACCACAAGATATACATATAAATATGTAATTAACCCATGTATTTAAGCCCAAAATAAGGGAAGGAAATTTTCAGGAATTCACTAAACAAGAGTTGGATAAATTATAGTCTTACAGACAAGCACCTGCACTTAGGGGTGATGATACATCCCTTTGAATTAGCAAAAACCTTCTTAAATTTTTAGATTTCAGCACTTTGCTACCTACTTTGTTAATGAAATTGATGAAGGTAAAATTTAAATTGTTCTTTCATCATTTGATGAACTAAGAGAAAAAATTATCCAAATAACAAAAAATGGGCATGCTAAAGTACAATATTTCTTTTTGACTTAATTAACATACTTCAAAACCTCAACAAGTTGGACAATTGACTACAATCTGTGTTTATATGTTGCTATATTGTGTTCCATTGTAAGATAGGATATCACAAAGTATAAATTACCCAAGTACCTAATACCCTTTTGTAAGGTGAGTAAGTTACTTGCCTACATGCCAATAACACACTCTCCCTCTTATCTATCTCTTTACTTGGGTAATGTGTATTGCACAAGGGCATTGGAATCTTACTTACCTAGGCAAGTGAAGCATAGGTAAACGTATTTACCTAGGCAAGTGAAAGCGAATGGATAGAGATGGCAACGAGGCAGGTTCAAGGAGGGCTTTATAAATTCTAGACCTTACCTACCTCCTAATCTGTACCTTCCCCTAAACATGTAATAGGTTGGATTTTGAGAACCCAAACTCTCTTCGAATATGAGAACACAAAACCCTCATTCACACTACCCTCCTTTCATTCAAGGGTAGGGTTGGGTTTTGAACCCGCATCTAATTTTCTATGATTTATTGTTATATATAAGTAATAAATAAGTAAAATAACACGAATAAACAACAAAATTTTCAATTATTTGATTAAGACATGTGAAAAAACACATAAATTATCAATTATCATTCACATAAAATTCAAATACTATAAACTTCAACACTTGATACATAAATTCATATGATTTTCTATAATATACGGGTCGGGAAGGATTGGGCTTAACCTAATACTACTGGTACATGTTGTAGAATCTCAAAACCCATCCCACCCCAAAGGTCCCTTTCTTCAATAAAAAAGCCCCATCCAAATGAGTGCCCACCGAATAGGATAGAAATTGCCATTCCTACCAACGGGGCTTTAGAGAAATACCATGTTTTAGCACATCCAATTTCCTCATTTTTTTGATAGCACTTCTTTCGGTTCATCTAGGTTAATGGAAATCTGAAAGTCTGTTACATGATGGCAGTCTTAATATTACTTTAGCAGTGTAGCAGGCTGTGGGATCAGTACTAACGTGCCACAGTGATAAAATACATGGAGCCACACTGAGTTGAATGATTGTAGGCCCTATATATTTTATGATCGATGTGGAGTCTTATAATTGATTCCACAGCCTGCTGAACAGCTATTGAGTTCAGCTAATTCAATCTCTTAATTTACTTTGAATTGTTGCTTTTATCTTTTCTATTCTATTACTTCTTTCTTCCTTCCTTAGACAGCGAACTTGATGCCAATCAGCCAATCACGCTGTTTGTATTGTTCTTGTCTTCTCTTTAATGATACTATTTTAAAAAAGGGGAAAGAAAATAAATAAATACAATACAAAATAAAAAAAACCCATAAATACAGCCCAAAGTTCATCTTTACCGCCACGGCAAAGATCCGAGGAGCTGAGAGCTCCAATCGTCCAGAAACTACTACCGAACAATCATCTATCGGCTTCTTCGTTTTCTCTCCTTTCTGATTACATGATATAATCGTCAGTTAGAATATCCAAAATTTCCATATCGCCAGCCAGGTATGACCTTTGTCAATTTCCATACAATCAGTTCCTTTTTGGTTTGTTCCACACTCGATTTTGATCCTGATTCTGATTGCCGTCGAACAATTAAATCACGCCAGTTCACTGCGTTTTTGTGAAATTAAGTTTTGCACACTTTATTCCGTTCTCTTTCGAACGACAAGTTGTTCAATGGTCATGTCGTCCAGTTTGGTTAACTGGAGTAACTAAACATCCGAAACACCGTATCTGTCCAATAATTCGACAGTTGCTTTGTGAAATTAGAGGCCTTCAGAGATATGTTGTCTTTACTCTTTACAAACTTTGCCGGTGTCCGGTGAGACTTTATGCTCCTATTGTTTGGTGGTTCACCCCCGTAGAATGGAATGGTGAAATACGATTGGTTCAGCTTGCCTCTATATAGTTGATTCGCCTAGGCATTCTTTTTCTCTTATCAGAATTGAGTAATTTTCCTTCTTTCTTTCTTTCCTTTTTTTAACTGAACAAGCCGAGTTTCTCTAGTTTTTTAAGTGGGTGTTGGAGACTTTGTTAGAGCAGTCACTTCTCCAAGGGATCGGACTTCTGCCTACCATTTGGTTTTGAGCCGTTGAGGTGTAGGAAGACAGCGATGTTTTAAGGTTGGATGTGAAGTCCTTTGTTTGGTCCTAGAGATTGAGTCACCTTTCCAGATAGGCTGGATTCTTGACCTTTGAAATTGGATGTCTTCTTAAACTAAATTCTAGATCTGCTATCTTTAGTTGCCAAGGCTTGCTAGAAATGGTATCTTGAGGGGCAGGTTCTTTTCAGGTTCATTATTATGACAGATATATTTTTTTTTGGTATTTTGCACCCACATTTTTCTTCGAGGGTCAAAAGTCTTTGTATCTTCCTTTTGCTCTTTTATTAACATATTTTATTTTCTCTTTGTTACTAATGTCTAATGAAGCATTGGTGATAGATTGAATGGTTTTTAATATTTATTTTTCAATGTTCTGCATACGTCAAAGTTATATTGTTCTTTTTTTCTCCATGATTTTGTGCATCAAATAAAATTTCAACCATTATTTTTGCTTGTCAGCCTTCCTGTTATATCTTGTTGTTTCTCAGACAATGGAAGAATTTTGAAAATGAAAAAAAGAAAAAAGATATGCAACTTGAGGAATCTTCTGAAAGGATTAATGATGATGGTATATATGAGTATGAAGTGAGATTTGATTTGCCTTTCAGGTAGAGAGCTTTGAGGCGTGCATGGTCGCTGCTTCTTGAATCATCTCTTCCAACCCAAGAGAAATTTTGGGTGAACTAGTCAAGTGAGCCTCACTTACACCTTTTATTTGTTTAACCATTTTATATTCTTGAAATTTCCATTATTTATTTAATTTATTTCATCAAATTTTTGGTATTTCTCTGTTCCTTTCTAGTTCGGAATTGCCAACATAAGCCTCCACAAAATTGTAGGAGTGATTGGCTGTGACACATATGGAAGCACAAGGTAATCCTTTCTAATTGCTTTTCATTGTGGAATTAGACTTGATTTTTAAGTGGTATAAAAAACTTGGTTTAGTTTTGACGAGTGGGTGAGTTTCTAAGGTGTGTGAAGAAAACATCCCCCTTCTCTCTCTCACAGATACACACACACAGACAAAACCCAATAACCCTAATGACTCCTTTTTATATGTGTGTTATATAAATTATAGATTATTGTAGGTTTTCAAGACTGCTATTCAGTCTTGACCACTAAGAGATTTCAGGTTCGATGAGAAGAGAAAGTGAAGAAGAAGTAGAAGAAAGAGTGGTGAAAGAGCAATAGAACACAGTTTTTGAGGAGAAGAACAGAATGCCAATATTCTGCCGCCACCACTTTAAGTTAATATATATAGGTTATG